AATTTCTTTTAAAGAAGAAGAAGCGCCTTATAGTTCCGTTACATAGCATCTGGCACGTTTTCATTAGAGCAAGAAGTGGACCCACGCGCTGCGTCAAGTGGTTGTCCCACACACGCTTGTACTGTTATTCACTACACGTCCGACAGAGGCGCTGCAACAAAGTAACGTTTCTTCACTCTCCACTCCGAGAGACACCCTATTGTCTTCGCGAAGAAGCTTGTTTCGAGGCGAACGCAGGAAAAATCAACTGTGTCTCTCATCTGCAAATGAGTCATGCATACAAATTCTGATCAGTGTGTTGAGACTTAACGTTTCCACTTGATTTGACAAAATGATATTGAGGCTTGCGAAATACTAAATATACTTTTTTTACGAAACTCTGTGCTGCATAAGTTGTTACAGCGTGACGGTCTTTGTCGTGCTTTCACTGACAAACTAACTTTTTCTTGTTACAGTATCTGAATTACGTGGAATCGTCTTCCTCGTTTAACTTTCTCTCAGGATCTAAGTTATCATGTGAACACAAAGTTGTGCTTTAACAGTAGAGATTGCCGAACCGTTTCCTCGGGCCATGAACGTCTATCTTTTGTATTTCATTATCAGGGCTTGAACAGCGTGTTTTTATTTCAAGAGGCGACGAGCAGAAATTCATAACAGCTGCTTATACTAACGAGAAATTGGAGTGCTTTCTGTACTGGACATAAAGCTGCATGTAAGAATCAAAATATATCTGTTAACTAAAAGTAGAAGTTGAAGTATAAGTTCTTTTTAAACATGGCATTTGAAAAATCTTAGAAAGTTGATCTTTAAAGTACTTTCTATTTTAAATGCTAAGAATCAATATCACAAGTTACTTAAGCTGGTTCAAAATAATTGGGTAACATAAGGGTTGTAGCATTATAAGCATAGAACCTACGGCCAGAAACAAGTTTTCTTAAAACTCTCGAGTGGAAAATTAATTTTATAAGATTTGAGGTTTTCACGGAGGTGACTATGAAAAATGCCGTCTTCTGGGATATGGCGCCGTGTGTATATTGCATAAACAGACGTTTCGGACCAACGTTTCACTTCCATTTTCAGGGTAGAAGAAAAAAAAGAAAAAATCTGCCAGCGAGCAGCTACCTGTTCACACTGGTTCCTGGTTCGCGGATTTTTTATTTTCTTCTACCCTGAAGATAGAGGCGATACGTTCCTTCGAAACGTCGGTTTATACAACATCTACACGGCGCCACATCCCAGAAGACGGCATTCTTGAAAAATAATTTTGTTTATTATGTAAGATATGACTGTGGGCCCGGGATAGCTCAGTCGTTATGGCGACGGGCTACCCAGTATGGGAAAGGGATTTCCCCGTCATCATAATGTTATGACGGCTGTGTGGCCTATCCGTCCTTATACACAATGGGAAAAGGGGGCCGTGGCGTCAAGCTGACCACTCACCTCCATTTTGTACCAACGTGAAGAATGATGGAGCTACACCTCCACTCCAAATAAGCCTTCATGGCGTGGTGTTTAATTAATTAATTAAGCGCAGGGACAACTATACCCTTCACATTTACGTAAGATGTGATTTGCCATTAACTGTTAACTCCTGCTCATTACTCCGGGCCGACATCGAAGTTTGATCTGTTATATTCTCTACAGAAACTCCGGGAACACTGATTCTTCTTATGATAATTTGTTTGAGAGAATGAAGCATTAAATGAGATTCTGTAGGCCAATATTGCAGATACAGACTAACTCCGCGCGCTATCAGACTGTTTTATTATATTTCTTAAAACCGAGGGCACTTTCGTGTGTTGCTCTGTCCGTAATTCCAACAGTTCTGTCCTCTGTGTACGTGTCACATCCTTCATATAATTTGGTGCGCCTGATAATAAAATGTACGTCCACCATAAGAATGAGTAGGAGATCTCTCATGCGTGTAGCACGCAAGAGGAAGACGATAAATATATGCACAAAGGTTTAGACTGATTAACTGGTGAGAAGAGAGCAGCTTGGAGAGTTCGGCGTAGAATGAGAATAATATCAAAATGAATTGTAAAGAAAGAGATTGCTAAGTCGTGTGCTGGATTCAGTTGGCTCACAGTAGGTCCAGTGGTGATCTTCTAAATACAGTAATTAAACATCGGATTCCATAAGAAATGGGGAAATGTTTGATAAGCTTCGCTCCTTAATTAGTTATATTGAAAGTCTAACCTGAAAATTGTCTACATCTTTCATTTTTTTGTTCATATTAGTCTACTAGGATTTTACTGCTTCGTGTAAGAGCAAAGAGAGATGCTTGTTCTGTTGCGTTAAACAGACCTCCACATCAAACAGACAAGTATTTTGAAGAAAACGGCCTATACCCTCAATACCCTGTTCTCAAACACCCTCAGTTTATGTTCCTCCCTTAATGTATGTATGTATGTATGTATGAATGAAGGGGTAGACCTACTCGGCCCTTGCACTTAGACCTCAGTGGTCCATTGTGCTTCCCCTTTTTTAATTATTCCCTCAGCAACCCCACGCTTCGGATGAAGCGCAGAATTTTGGAGGTGGGGGCGTCGAAATAGTCACTTGTTTCCATAAAGTACTGATCCAAGTGACGTAGTCTTAAAGAAGCTAAAGCCTCACATTCACACAGGACGTGTGTGGCTGTTTCATTTTCTATCTGACACCTCTCACAAGTGGGACTATCCCTTAGTCCCAGTTTGAAGAGGTGCCCTTTGAGGTGACAGTATCCTGTAAGTAGTCCTACCACTCATCGTAGCTGGTTCCTGTTGAGCTTCAACAGTTCCTTCGCTCTTTTATCAGAAGGTCCTCGTTTGAGTCCCTTAGCTTGCCTGAGTCCAGTTAAGGATTCCCAGTATTTCTTATGTTTTATGTTAGTCCAGTCCCTGATTGCCTGTTTGGCAACTTTTTTCCTCCCTTAATGTCAGAGACCAAATTTCTCGCCCATACAGAACCACAGGCAAACCTTCTTTCATCAATTGGATAAAATTCAGTTAGAATGCATAAAGCGCGTCGATTTTTCGAATTTCGGGTTAAGATATGTAAAAGCCGAATATCAGCATGCACTTCCCTGAAGTGCTCATATGAAATGAAAATAAGATGACGCAATGCATCAGTCATACTGACACTTTCCTACAAGTGGTGGGGAGCATCCCATCACGCCAGTGGTCAACTCAGTTAAGTAAGTCATGGCAGCTGCGTTTGTCTGACGTAGAGCAGAAACTGGCAGCATGACGTGTGTTCACATAGGAGGGACGAAGAAGAAAGCTATGAAGAGCTTCAGTCAGAATATCTGACGACAGTGCCGAGACTAGAACAGAGCAATATGAATGAAAATCACTTCTCGGCGACGGTGAACAGGCAGTATTGAAGCCTGTTCAATCAAGTACATTGCCAACTTAATTTAAAGCTTGATGCAGAAGTAATTCAGCATTGTTCTGCCTCTCCAGCCGCCTAAGTCTCCTTTCAAAACTAACCTCGGTGGTCGTTTTGAATGGAAGAACAGGTTTCCCGTTTTGAAGTTTCGTACTGAAACTAATTGCTTGTTGCACCTAAGCTGAAAGGTTAACAATGTACATATGCACCCAGTCTTAAATTTTCGGCATTAAGTTAGTAGAGACTTAAAGAATTTTGATAAGAGGAAGCCAACTCGTGAACAAATTTGCGTACGTGTCATTGCAAGGTTAAATTTAAACCGTAATTTAACACCTCTCTTTAAGTATAAACTCGAATTTTTATTGTGCCGACAGAAAAGTGACATCATCCTTCGAAAGAGTGGTCGTAGCCCCTTGTGGGTGAATCTGTTCACTCATAATTTCATTTCCTGCAAGATTTACAAAATTGCGCATCTAGACACTAAAAACATGCGCGCAAACACGTGTGCCTACTTCCGCAGGCCGAAAGATACTTCCACTGTCTTCTCACAGCTGTAGCATTCACGGACTGGGCATCTGTCAGTTTGTAACTAGGCAAGGAGGTGTTCAGAATGAAATATCATGACTTATACGTAGTCCGCCCTACAATCTGAAAGGGAGAGGTTTGATGAAAAGCATGACTTCTGAAATACCATGTTTTATTCTTACGTCATACACAACATTTTTCATACGCCACCGAAATGCATATTTCATTGTACGAACGATATATCGATAGAGTGACATCGACTTTTCTATGAAAAGAACGCTTAGAAATCGAGATCGAAATCCTGACTGTATCAAGGGGCTCCGTTTAGGTTACAGTGGTAATCAAGTGTTACCCCTGAACGTCAGAATTCAGTGCGTTAGAAACACATGGGACACGACAAAAACAGAAAAACTGAATACGTGAAAACTTAGCTACTGTGTTCATAGAGCTAAATGATGAATTCCTTTCAAATTATTCTCTCTCTAAGTAAGCAGTTATTCCACTGTACTGCCAGTGTGGGAGTGCCTTTAGAACTAACACTACTTTCGGAAATAAGAACTACATAAAGAAAGCAGTCTTCTGGGATTTGGCACCGTGTATATGTGGTGTTAACCGACGTTTCGGAGGAACGTATCGCCTCCATCTTCAGGGTAGAAGAAAAAATATAAGAAATCTGCAAAGCGAAGAGACCGTGAGAACCGGTNCAAGAACTACATAATTTTAAGACATTCTTTAATTCATTCATCGAACTGAGCCCTTCTTGAAAAGCTGCCAGTTGTGCAGCTACTGAAGAACTTCCCGACATTTTATGGAACCTGAAGATTTATTACCGTGTAAGTTTTGAAGACGACTTTCTTCACTGTTACCGTGTTCACAAGAGCCCTTCACTGGTCCCTATCCTGAGTCAGATCTATGCAATGCATACCATCCCATCCTATGTCTCTAAGATCATTTTAATATTGTCCACCCACTTACGTCTTCGTTTTCCCAGTGGTCTCTTTCCTTCTGGCTTTCCCACAAATATCCTGTATGAATTCTTCTTTACGGAAAAAAAATGTTTACTGTGTGTATTATAGTGCGATTGGTTGGTTTGTCGCTTACAGATGACGACCCACAGGTGGTAGTGACGAAGGAAGACGGCCAACCCATGCAGCTCATAAAAAGACAATGGCGTCTGCGCTTCGCACCTGGCTGGGTGTCCTCTCAGTTCTCTTACATCAAGCAGTGCGCGGGCAGAGTAAGTAGACTGACACATGTGGAGCATCGGTTCATGACCTTAACTCTATGACCATTCGTCCCTCCCAATGTTACACACGTATTTCTACAAAGTATTCCTGCATTCGGTGAGTGGGAAAAAACACGAGAAAAAGCTTCAAATGCCGCTACTTAATTCTTGCATATTTCCTAAAGAGTCTGTTTGCATGTTTTATTTTGAATTCGAAAGGATTATATACCTTGGTTAGTAGCTGATGTCAAGCAACGACTGGGAAGTTTTGTTTGTGTTCTATGTAGCATGTTTCTTGCAACAGAACAACTGATTTCATTACTTCTTGCATAACATCATTCAAAGTAATTGGGATTTCCTTGTGAAATACTTGACTAAATGACCCCGTACACAATAAGAGTTGTACTTCGTGGTCAAGGTATAAAGGCGACTTGCCCTTTCCCGTACAGGGTTTGCACGTTAATTTGCTTCAAGTGTGGATGACCAAGATGCCTGTATACTACATATATACCGGGTGTACGAATGAAAGGTATCCAAAATAAAAAATGTATATCTCGGAAAAAAATTGTTATACACTGTCATCGGAAAGGAAACTCTGAAATTTTTTTTCATGCCCGGCTTACGCGCAAGGGCCGCCACATTTCTGCCACCATATTAGGAATCCCCTGGACAAAGAGATGGCTAGGAGATGGATCAGCAGAGATGAACCAATCGCTTGGTCTCCTAGGTCGCCAGATTTAACCCCAGTGGATTTTTTTCTTGTGAGGTTATGTGAAGAACACTGTCTACCAGGTTAAGATCAACGAGCTCCTACACCTGAAAGCCCGCGTAAGGGAAGCTGTGGATACGGTAACACCAAACATGCTTCAAGCAACGTGGAACGAGGTCGAATATCGTCTGGATATTTGTCGTACCACCAAGGGAGCCCACATTGGAATTTATCGAGAAAGTTATATACGCAAAAGAAAACTTTGATAGTTTCGTTTTGTAATGGTGTAACCCATTAATTTGTATAATAAATTATTTCTGAGATGTAATTATTTTTTTGGATACCTTTCATCCCGACACTCTTTACATATATATGAATCTGGGTTGTTAAATGTTAAATTTTAACGAAGTGTGCCTTATGTTACCCACAAAATGAGTATCGCACTTGCTGAACCTAGGATATTTATATACTGCCTAGAATTACAAACATTTTTATATTAATATTTATTTTGCTTACATTCAAAAGAGAAAATTTCAGTTATTTTAAAATTTTCGACTCTCTCAGGCCAACATTCTAATCACGTAGTTCTCGAATACAAGTTCTGGGCTTCACCACTGAGATAAACCCTTCGGATTCTTGTTTCTCCTGGTATTAGTAGAATAAAATTCGGGTTTACTCTACGTATGAATATGACAGCCCGCAAACTGGGGCCACAGGAGCGCTATGAATCGACCTAGTAGATTTTGTTGTCCTAGCCGATCCCAGTGGCCGCGTGGTCTAAGGCATAAACAGTTTTCTCCCGCTCGAACACTGAGTCCGTGGGTTCGAATCCATTCGAGGCATGAATGTCTGTGTGCGTTTATTCTGTGTTTGTGTTGTTCTGTATGCAGGTAGCGGCCTTGCGACGGGCTGATTCCCCGTTCAAGGAGTCCTTCCGACTATGTAGGATTAAGAAACTGAAAAGCGGCCAAGGCCCAACAAAGAGCTGTAGAGCCACAGATGGATAGATTTTGTTGTCCTACAGTGATAATGTTCTCTCAAAAGGTATTTAAGAAATAAACGAATTAAAACGTTTACAGGTCGCTGAAACACATTATGATAATATAAGCAGTTAGTTGTGCCTAGTAACGTGTGCTTAAGTAGGCGGATAATGTTATTTTAAAGTTATGAAAGGTCTTCTAAATGGAGCATTTAACTCAGCATGGAACTGTTGCCTTTCCTGGTGAGCTTCCAAAACCGAAAATCCCGTGAATGTTTATATAATATAGGCATATATTTATATTATGGTATTATCCTAATAAAAGGATAGTAAACTCCATTGTTCGGAGTTGTTCTTCACAAATTGCAAGTCGCTTAACTGCTGAAGATATTTCCACCTTTTATGAATCCAAAGCTTGGCAAGACAGTATCACCGGACTCCGTTGCTAGCCACTGAAATCAAGCCTAGACCATACAGGTATTCCTAAATATATCACCTTCGTATATGAGCCCACACAGACTTAAGTTGTCCCAGTGTATATGCAAATGTATTCTGGCTTACAGGATATAACACTGAATTATATGATTTATTTTATGAATCATATATTGTTAAAACTATAAAAACTAAAACTATAAGCTTACGATGGGCAGGCCATGTTAACTGAGCGGTAGATGACAATCTTATTGATGAAACTCGCCCTTTTAAAATAAGACGGGTGTAGAACAGTTGGATGACTAAACTGAGATGGATGCATGGAATAGAGGATGTTCTCAGGACGCTCAGTGTGAGAGGATGGACACGGAGGAATGGGAAAATATCTTGGAAGCAGCCTGGGCCCAATTTGGGCTGTACAGCCATTAGTAGTAATACATGCTTAGGTTTCACAAGAGGTATACTCCTGTTTTCTCCAACAAAATATGCATAATTCAAGCTGCCGGTACGTGCTACTTGGCCAGCGTATCTCATTTTCCTTCACTCTATCACTCTAAATATTTATGGAGTAGAATGCAAATTATGAAACTCCTCATTTTGTAATTTTCTCTATCCTCATATTACTTCCTCTCTCTTCAGTCCAGATATCCTCCTCAGAATTTTGTTTTTGAATACATCTGCGTACTTTCATTGCTTTTATTATGGAGCGCCCTGGTTCAGAAATAATTCCACGCCTGATATTTCAGTAAGAGGGAACACCCGTTGCACAAGACGCCGTGGCACAGGAGATGGATGTTTTGATTGTGTTGTGCAAATTCGTTGCAAAACTTCCCTTACGACATGGAACATTGTTCCTAATAAAGTGTAATTTGTTCACAGAACCGTTTGAATATACATACACTCGACTGCACCAACCCCCTCCCCCCACACACTCACGTATATATACATACAATAATTGACAGCAAGACAAGGCATGTGGAGGGGACTACATGCTGTAATTTACCATGCAAAATCGGCCAATTCGGAACCCGGTTCTTGGCTTAAATAAGGCTGGCCTGCTGGAGAAAGCGCTGAAAGTGGCTGCAGGAGTTTGTTTCGGACATTCGCACTAATCAGTGCTCCACAAACACTGAATGCCGTGGACTGCGATCGAATTATTATTACTTTCACTTCATGTTTGGAAGGGCCCACGTTTCGTATCTCGGGGCGGAGACTGGCTACATTGAGTGATTTTTTATTATTATTATTCTTAGTAGGGTGAGAATAAGTCCTCTGGTGACCTGTTATACCAGACGATAGGTGAGGACGATTGTGGAGCAATTGGTGGAATGAAGATTGGTGAAGGAAACTGAAGTACTCGGAGAAAACCTGCACCAGCCCCACTTTGTCCACCAGAAATCCACATGACCAGACCAGGGCTCGAACCCGGGCCGCCGCTGTGCGAAGCCAGCGACTAACCGCCTGAGCTATGGCGTGGTCATTACACTAAGTGATGCTTTCATGTTATTCCTCGGTCACTCCGAAAAAAACTTGTACTGTAAAAAAGGAGAAGTTATAACTGCTTCTTTCAACATGCTTACCAATTCATGATACACAGTCCATCCAACACTATGTAATCTATGCAGCTGAAATGGCGAAGTTGAATAAGCCAAGAATCGAACCAAAATTCAATATAATAAACTTCTCCTGCAGAAACCGAAGTTGGGGAACAGTAATGTCACTAGTAAATTTCTAAATGAGCAGCTCCAGTAAATGCAGACGGTTACACGTGTACTTCCTATCTACCAGTTCCTGAACCAAAAGTACGGATCAGTGACCTGGTTGCATGTGAATTGCTTGCTGTAGCGCTGAAGTTTAAATGGTTAAGTTCGATGAGTCGGAAATGTTCGGAGGTGGGGCAGCTCCTCGGCGTTAACAAAAAGCGGAAGTGTCCTTCGGTATAGGCATACGGGCCTAATAAAATCTACTAGACGTAAATCAGATAGGATATTACTTGAAATGAGATACACAGAGTTTCAGAGAACCGTCGATGCGAAAATAAGTTAAATCAAACCGGAAATATTTGTGTTCAGTACCAGAACAATGATAACAGTAAGAGCGGGAAGGTGTACTCTAATTTGGAGTGCGCACAATTTGTTGAGTTCTTATGCAATTTCACATACGTCATTAGCGTTTATATTTATTTGTTTTTCAGGCAAATCCTAGAACAGGATATTTTTTTTTTCTTTTCTTCTTCATATTATCAGTGTAAGGACAAACAAAACAAACTCCGTGATTTGAGACCGCAAGCGAACTATACCGACCGAGCTACCGCCGCTTGTTGGCGAAGTTAGAACAGTGTAATGCCACTCTCTTTAGTTTAAATACCGTATTTACGCATGTATAGGCCGCACATTTTTTGCCAAAAATTCAAGAGGAAAACTGGGGTGCGGCTTATATTCGAAATATTCGAAATCACACTTCATTTTAAAAAAAAATTATATTCATAATTAGTAATACAGGGTGTTCTACTCCTGAAATAATATTCCAAGAAAATTATTTTTTCTATAATTTCTGTCTGAAAATTGTGCTGCGGCCTATACACGCACGCGGCCTATACATGCGTAAATACGGTAACTGTATTTATTTAACTTTGCATCCCTATATTACTGTTTAAATAGCAACTATGTACTAAAGTCGCGAAAAATCTCTCACTGTCTTTCTACTTTTCAGATGCAAGTACAATTTTTGCAAAGATATTGACAACTAATGTCAGAAATTTTTATTCTTCTTATGTTGAGTTAATTGAATAAGGTCCCAAAGTGAAAGTCGCAGATCTTAATGTGTTCTACTTTTTCTGGCATAAAGAAATCATCTGTGCTAATAACTAAGTTTCAACTTGAAGCTAAGATT